ATCAACTGTGGCCCCATAGCCCGCTAAAACCACTCCTAAAAATGCGTCATGAGCCTAGGATAACGATCCGATACAATAGATATAGGTACCCTGTGCAACTGGACCATCTCTCATATGTATAACTTGTAGAATTCATCCACGGTGAAGGTCATCCGCACAACCAGAAAAGTGTGCTGACTTCGTTAGCCGATTCACTATTAACCACACCGCGTCATGCCCACACCAAGTCCGTAATAAGTGGGTCACAAAATTCATAGTGACATGTTTCCACTTCCACTTAGCCACCTCCAAAGTCTGGAGCAACCCTACTGGTCTCTAGTGCTCAGCCTTGACCTACTGACATGTGAGACATTTGCTAACAAAGTCTTCAACATGTCTCTTCATCCCACTCCAATAATACTGGTGGCAAAGTCATGGTACATCTTCGTACTAGCTTGATGCACAACAAAACAAGAGCAATGAAACTCCCTAATGATCTCCTCTCTCAAATTCATAGATTGGGGAACCACAACTCTTCCCCTAAACTAAAGACTACCATTAGAGTGAATGGCCCAACCCTCGTCACCTGTCCTCGACTATACCCAGTCCCTAGTGGATAATATCTTTGTGTTCTGCCCTTGGAACTAGATCACCCTAATCAGTAAGGAAGTAGTAGCCACCAGACTTCCCAAAATACCTTGAGCTTAATCTCTATTGTGTAACTCAAACTGTCTCATAGTCTCGAGCATTTGCCACTCTCGGGAAGCTATACTAGCGATAACTCCCTATGACTTTTGACTAAGTGCATCAGCCACTACATTTGTCTTACCAAGATAGTAATACAAAGTGAATTCATAGTCCTCCAAGTACTCTGTCCATTTACATTGCCTCATGTTGAGGTCCCGCTGTGTGAAGATGTACTTCAGACTCTTATTATCTAAAAAACACCTCGAATTGCTCTATATACAGATAGTGGCATATGCCTTTAAGGCAAAGGCAACGGCTGCCAACTCTATGTCATGTGTGAGGTAGTTCTATTCGTGGCTCTTTAACTACCGTGAACCATAAGCTACCACACTCCCAGATTGCATCAAAACTCATCAAAGTCCGTCCTTTAAGGCATCACATTAGATTGTGTATCTCTGTCATCTCTCTAGTATTATAAGGATAGGCGCTGAAGTAAGCCTCCTCTTCAACTCCTAGAATTCCCTCTCACATGAGTTATCCCACTAGAACTTGCCCTTTTTCCTAGTCAGCCTAGTCATAGGTGTAGCTAGCCGTGAGAAGTCCTTGCTGAACATTCGATAATATCCTGCCAATTCTAAGAAACTACAAATCTCGAAGACTGATTTGGACCTCTCCCAACTCATAACTGCCTCAACTTTCTTCAAGAACACTAAAACACCCGAAGCAGACACCACGCATCCTAGAAATTTCACCTCATTCAGCCAAAATTCACACTTGCTAAACTTGACGTACAACTAATGGCCCCTCATGCTCTTCCTCAGACTTAAAGTAGATTAGGTTGTCATCAACAAAGACTACGATAAACTGATCTAAATAGGGTTGCAATACCCTGTGCAAGAGATCCATAAATGCCAGCAGGGCATTCATCATTCCAAATGGCACAACCATGAACTCGTAATGCCCTTATCGTGTCCTAAATGAAGTCTTAGGGATAATGGCCTCACTAATTAGACCTGTGCCTCTCTCAATTGATCAAATAAGTCATCTATGCACGAGAATGGGTACTTCTTCTTGATGGTGATCCGATTTAGTTGCTGGTAATCGATACATAGCCTAAGGGTCCTGTCCTTCTTCTTAGCAAATAGCATTAAGGCGCCCAAGGTGAAATACTCAATCTAATAAAGCCCTTGTCCAACAATTCTTGTAACTAGACCTTGAGTTCTTGCAACTCTGTCGGTGCCATCCTATGCGGCATCATAGAAATAAGGGATGCACACTCATCTAGGAAAACATCCACATACTCATAAACTACCTGAAGTAAACTCAACTCCTATCTCGTCTCGTCCTCAAGTGTAAGGCTCATAAGTCAACCCATCAACTATCATTGTCAATGAAAGTCATATAAGGCTTAGGGTAAAACATCATGTTTTTCTCCCTAAAATTTAAATTAGACACCACTAGTGTATAAGCAATAACCCTTTTCCAATCACAATCGATGACGACTCGGCAATATACATACCAATGAATGTTGTATAACCTGACACCACATCATTACATCCCCTTTACATACACATGTAGTGCACAATGGATCCAATGGCTTAACCCAATCTACCCTCAAGTTCAAGCTAATTTGAAACCTAAGCTCTAATACAAAGTTGTGAGGCTCCAAAATTCAGGGGTCCTGTCTCAACCTGTTAATCACCTATCAACACGAGGAAGTACAAATGAATGTTGTATAACCTGACACCACATCATTACATCCCCTTTACCAGGATCATAACCAAAATAAAGTTTAGGCAAAGTATCCCTTGTATCGGAAAACTACCAAACGCATAACCTATACACATATCAACCACATGACCATTCCAAGGTTCAAACCCCAATAATTAGGATTTATTATTTTCCATTTACATCATTCATAGATGGTCGTTAAAAAAGCGAATGCCCCTCAATGTTACATTTTAAAATTTTAAGTTTTTGGGAGGAAATAGCAGTACCTCACATAAGTGGTACCGGTACCTAGGCCTTATGTTTGCCAAGTACGGGCACCTATGTGACTTGGTACCGGTACCTGAGTCCACTGTTTGCTAAATATTAGTACCTATTTATCCTGGTACCGATACCTGAGCCCATTATCCATCGGGGTATCAGTACCTGAGGTCTAGGTACTGGTACCTGAGCCCATTTGAATCCAGGTTCTAGTTCATGTAAGCTTAGGTACCGGTAGTTGGGTCAACCAACAGCATGGTTCCAGTACCTGAGAACATAGGTACCAGTACATGAGCCTAGAATTTTTTCAATCTATCCAATTTTCAACTCTAAACCATCCAATCTCATTCTATATTCATTCATTCATTCATTTACATCAAAACATTCTCCAATAGAGTCCCATTATATGCTATATTACCAATGTACAAGTTCAAAACAAATTTACATATTAGATTTATAAATTGCAATTTAAAAGCCACATTCCAGCTTTGTTATCAATAATGACCCAAATGAGGACTGTCTATCGGCTTCTGTCCAACACTTGAAATATGTTCTCATAAAGGGTGAGTCATGTTCAATAGAGTATCTCTTAAGGAGGCTACTCCTCAACCTAGTTGTATATGAAATGTCACATGCAATTCAACAATTCAAGCATTAGTTCAAAAACATACGTTTCATAAATGAATGCTATACTTTTCATGTCATGTCATGAGATGGAACTCGCGCATGCAATGCAAACCCGAGCCCTCCACCGGTTCCCATAACACGTGTCATATCATGCACATGCTTCTAGGCATTCCAAGCCCCTGCCATTGACGTTACACATCCAATGAACATTTTATAAAATCCTTGTATTTTTCTTGGGGTGGATATTTATGACATTTGTGGACTTTCACTAACAGCTCCGTGTATGCCGACACACTTTATAGACTCAATACCAATGGAAGTCCGTATCTGAAGTCACCAGGTCTAGGACCTGAGGAAGAATCTAGCCTGTCTTACTAATCCTAACACATATTTTCAATGAAACATGTGCGATTCAATCGAACCTAAGTCCAACATTTTCGAGCCCACGTATTAACCTACCAAGGATGATTTTTGATTAGAACCATACACACACACCCCTATACTCATGTCGAAAGCCCACAATTAGAATATCATGTTCATCATATCATACGCATATTATGAACATATTCAATGTCTACCAACAATCCTCAATTTCTCAAATATCAATTATATCATAAAGCATATAATTACATTGCACAACACCACCAAGCATGTTATAACATATTGAATACACATAACATAATTAATAAACCATAGGCATTTTATCAAACATCTACAATACACAAAGATTATGTAAACACATAGTATGCCCAAAACATCACTTTCTTCGTGAAATTCAAAGTCAAGGAATTTCATCATAACAAATCATACAAGAATTGGTTTAAACATTCTTATACCTATTTTCATATTCTAACAACCTTAGTTATGTGTTATACATGAGATTTTATCTCTGACGCTCTACCCATTTCAACCATACGTTAGAAATAAACCTAGTTTGGAAAACCCTATCTCTTGTAGCATATATTTGCGTAGAAGACATCCCAAAGATCTCAAATCAAGCTTTCAAAATTCGATCTCGGAAATCTCATCATTGAGATCTTGGAGAAACTCACAATCTTTAGTATTTACATGTAGCTCTCATCATGTAGAACAACTTTATCTCTTAGCTCAATAAGATCTAATGGTCGGATGATCGTAGATTGGAGGAAGAAGATGAGGAGAAGCCCTAATTTTCTCTTTCTTCTTTCTCTCTCTTTTTTTGGAAATTGCAGGTGTAGAATGGAAAAAAAATTGATTTTTCCCTTTTCATACCCCTTGATTACTTGGTCCACAACGCGCCACACGTCCATCTTTTTCTGATCAAAGTTTGTTCCAAATCAATTTAAATCTAGTCTCATTTTAGGTTCAGTAAATTTTTATTAAACTAACTTTAAATTATTTCCTAAGTTTCGTAATTAAATCCTAAGTGGGGTGGCAACATTGGTGGTGATTGTGAAGCGTTTTGTAGATAACTCATTTTAAAAAAATTAAAGTTATTTTTTGTTTACTTTTATTTATCTATAGTACTTATAAATGTCAGCATCTATAAAAAACTTTAAATTTCATATGTTATCATTAATTATTACTATAATACCAATTATACCCTCACATATCTCTACTAATATTATTTGTTTTCTTCTATATCCTATTAGCCCATAAATTTCATTTGAATCAAAACTCTTCTCATCTTTTTGTGTGTTCTTATTTACATTTTCTTTCTCTCAAAACGATAAAGTGGGGAAGCATCGAGTCATTGGAGCACATTTTGATTCGAAGGATTTTTCACATAGGTTACAGAATACAGAATAGTAAGCAAACTGCATGCACCATTTGAGATATACAACATTTTCAATTTTTCATCAGCTAATAATATCAGATTGCCTTTGTTTGTCTATCTCTATTTCTTTTTCCCCTCAACCAATTTGTACAAGTAAAGAAAATGTATGAAGGGAAATGAAACCAACAGGCTTGGAGAAACTATACTGCAATGGCGATCACTGCCTCTTTGCTAAAGTCTTTCTCAAACCTTTGATAATCTTTCCAAACCACATCAAGTTCATGGTAGCAAGCGCAGACGGCACAGAAAATACCAAGAGAAAACCGAATGTGTGCATCTTAGTGACCTGCTAATCATTCAAGGATCTCTTACTGTTACTACAATTTATTCTGGGCGCAAATCCAGAACATCACAAGGATCATATGAAATATTCTATAAAAGAAATACAATTCTAAGGGAACCATATTTTGTGTTTGTGTGTGTTAGAGAGAGAGAGAGAGGGAGCGATGGGGATGGGGTAAATTGTTTTTTATAGTGCATGAGAAATTGCGAAACATAGCATAATTCTCCACAAGAGGGGAGATATTCCCCACCATATGGTGAAATTATGCTGCTGAGATACTATCAACTAACAGATGAAATCAGTAATTCACAAGAATGTTGGGCCTATGAAGTGGAATATTCAGGAGGCAATTACCTGATCATAGTGTAAGTGAACATGGTAAAACAAGTAAATGAACAGCAAAATTCTAGCAACCTGCAAGAAAAGTCGGACAGAGAGAAGTTAAAACTAAAACACCGCCATACTCAGAGTGGTGAGGATCATAGAGCCCATCACCTAGGGCACGCCATTTGATTGACAAGTTTAATTAGGCTTTCCTTCAACCAAAGAACAATGGTGGCATGGTTGGCAACTAGATTGTCTACAGCACGGTATATCGAGTGGTAAGTGCACCCATTTTTAGTTCCTCTATGATGGGAATACAATATGATTTTTACTCACCAGCCAAGCAAAAAATATGACTACACCATTGATTAGATATGCGTTGGACCTCTTCAAGCCAGCCATATCGAGGTACCTGCACGAGACCCAAAAACATATGTCGAACTGAACTCAGGCTCAATCTATTGTGAAAGCTTCAGTTGTCCAAGACATACCATCTCATGTTGATCTCTGGAGTTGTCACCTCAGAGATGAGTACCATAAAGGTATAAAGCTGCCCCTCCCCAGTAAACATGGCATATGCCACAGCAATTCCAGAGAGAGAGTGATGGATGATCTGAATCAAACAAACCATATAGTGAGTCATATAGTACCATATAGACATAATGTGTATCTCTGAAAAGCTTTCCATATGCAGCCGTTTTGTGTTTAGAGTGTATTTACACATCAAATTGAATTTTTGAATGAAAAATTCACCCTCACCACACTCAACAAAAAGCGTTATACTCCCATCTCATAACCTAATTCTAGCAGAACATTAACTTAGCTAAATAAGGAGACTGCAGATATGTACGACCCACAGTAAACATGGTTCACTGTTGCAGCTAGCATAAGAAACAGGGTGTGGGATACATGTTTTAAAAATCACAATTCAGATGAGGGGTAGACAAATCTGTGCCATCTGGATCAGCATTTCAGTGGCATAAATGACCTATGATAAGCCTTAGTATATTCTATCATAAACAATATACTTACATACTCTAATCCACCCAAGGAAGGATACAGCCAACAAATCATTCCAAGGTCTGCAAGGAAGTACCCAACAGATACCTGTCAGAAATCATTAGAGTTATTGTATGAGGACTGATCACAAAAACAACATATACGAGTCTACTGAAGATCAAATCATAAGTTTGCTTCAACAAATGGATTGCCAGAGGATTCATGCCAAATGTCCCAGAATAACGCAGAAGCAGCCTGACAACTGATTCCTATGTCGATTGGCAAAATCATAGTAGTATTACAATGACATAGAATAACAGACTCTTGCTTCTTGATAAATCTTAAGGGCATGTACTTAAGATTTATGGCAATGAATAAAACTGCAAAATCAAGAACTAGGGGAGGAAACATGTGTCGACACAAAATTCCTTAGCAAGCAAGTGAAAATGGATTTTAAGAGCTCACCTTTTATGGGTGTGAAGCAATACTTAGTTTTGCTTTGAAAATACCTGCTTTGTTGCACAATAACCCATCGACTCAATGAAATAAGGACACTTATAAGTTAGAACATAAACGATACCAGTGACCTTTTGCTTAGTTCATATCAGGGACTGTGATCCACTGGTGGCGTAAGGATTTCAGCTTTCAATGAAGACACTCATATGTGGAAAAGTGGTGACTATCTCCTTAGAGTGAGGTTGGAATCATTACCCATAGGATGGATGAGTAGCATTGTAGGGAAAATCTTGCAATCCATTGCATTCAAGGGGTAGATGATGTAATGCCAAAGACACATATAGTATATCTGAAATAAACATACAACAATCTACCCTGTATTCAAAAAGAAATGAGTTTCTCAATAGTAAGTTTCTGACAAAAATACATATTTCATACTGTGGTAGACTTTTTCTAAGATACCAGCCAACCTAGCTGGCAAAGTCTCCCAATGATTGCACAAGAAACCTAAGATCAAATCATGTCTTCTTCAGGGTATTTTCCCCTTTTTCTTTTTTGTGTTGGATGCCGGATGGAATGGACGGTAGAAGGATACCTACACCACTTGTGTAGTCCACCATTCTCATTGGATCAAACAAAAAATCAATTGATTTTATGGTATCAGTAATGCCAGTGAGAATATTTCCTCTCCTCAGTATGCTTAATAGATTCAAAGCAATCAAAGAGATGGTCTGCTTAAATTCTGTAGTTTAGATGCTGTGAAGATGAAGCGACAGATTGCAGGAAGATCACTGAAGTTAATAGCAGAGTAAAACAGGACTTACCCCCAGTGTAAAAGTTGAGAGTGGTGAGCTTCGGAACGTAATAAGGCCATCAAGATGCTGGTCAGAAAAAAGATCTGACCCGAACACAAAGTACAAAGACATACTTGCAATAAAAATGGCATGAACACTGGAGATGCCACTGCACAAATATTTAGTAAGAACATTAAGAAAAGAATCACAAAAGAATGCAGAACAAAACAAGCAGTTCATATGTATTCACCGGTTGTTCCATTCAATCCGTTGCATTTTTGTAAGGCTAGTATAGCTCTTACAGGAAAAAGCACTGATCAGCTGAATAAGATCGTAGACCTGTGAAGGCCAAAACTAACAGAATAGGTGAAGCAAATATCATAAGGGAAAAATATGTAACTCTACAAGATAAGTCTGTAGAAGTTCAAATAAGAACAATTTTTGCTAAAGATACAGCATGATATATGAGTATACTTGTCACAGAGTGACAGAATAAGGCCTAGACCACAAGGGGCCTATTCATCAAAGATGTCTCAATTTTTAATAGAGAGAAAGAACTTTTTCCTTTTCTTTTTTCTCCCTTTCAATTAAGGAAAATGCATAAAAGATAAAAGGAAGGAAAAGTTTGAACATACCATTTTGCATGCAAATAAGCCTCCAAGGATGGAAGTGTATGGAATAAAAGGATCTGCCAGTAAGTAGTCTTTAACCAGAACTTTAGCCTGATTTTGGTAAGACTTAAATGCCATAGCTGTCTAAGAAACTGTTATTTCAACAAGTTTACAAGACCATACATTCAGTCCGCTTGTACAACACAATAATCCCCCACATGTACTATCTGCATACAATCCTGGAAACAAGTATCAATAAAAGAAGCTTTACTCAGCAAGTTGTGTATCAGAAATGAATGCAAAACACGCAACGTATCACATTACCACCTTCCACATACATTGCCTCAAAAGAAAAACAATAGTTATATATCAAATAATTTAAAGATATTCCCCTAGTAGTAGTGGGTTAGCCAAACTACATGTGCCCTCATAATGCTATATTCTTCTTCTTTTTTTCCATTTTTTCTACTCCATTTTTTGTGATACTTTTACTTCTTTTTGCAGTAAACAGTTAGCACCAAATATGCAATGCAGAGATTTAAATGATGTAATAAAATCTCAAAGGTATCAGAACACCATTTGCATCTTTAATTCAAAAAACTCGCGATGGCAGTTAAGGGAAGAAAATACATAGAATAGAAGACGGAGGCTTGTATATGACGGTGATATAGACTTATAAAAGAAGGTGAAGTTGATGCCTACTGTCACAACCTCCATATGCTTGAGGCACATCTCAAATTCAATCATTTGTGAAATATTAAACCATCAAAAACTTGGCCATTGTTAGGAAAATATTCGGCAGAGCTCGGATAAAATGTGGGGGGGTTCTAAACCATAAAAAAAGATACAATAACGGAATTTTGAATATGTTGGAACCAGGTGCACTTTTCTAATTACTACTGTCGGTCGATAGTAGCAAGGCCCAGCTGCGACTTTCTAATTGCTACTCCTGGTCAGCAGTAGCACTGCCCAGCTGCTACTGTCCAGCTGCTCCTACCAGTCGGCACTTGCCAAACACCAGCGTACTTGCAACCACCAAGTCTCAACTACTAAGCTAAGGTCCAACCAATGCCTTTTGACAAGCACATCTCTTCCTTCAATTTAGGACCTAGTATCCTAGTGATATTCTACCTCAAATAACCAGGAGCTGGTGATAAGGACCGGGGACCAAGAATCCTAGTCTAACTCGGCTCCGAACTTCTAGGACCTGGTGACCGATTGAGCCAATCAACCTAGAGTTCTGGTTACTTTTGGACATATCTCCCTATTACTATAAATAAAGGCCACAAGGTACTAGGTAATTCATTCAATCTAAGCCTATTCACTCAATACTTCTCTCTAACTTGCGATCTGACTTAAACATCTGAGTCGTTTGGCAACCTCCGGCCATCGGTTCACCTACGTGTTCTCTTGTCTTGTATATTCCCCGAGGCTTCTTCACCACCTTCTTTATCCTTATGAGATGGTTACTCTTTGTATGAAATTATTCCCCCACAATTGGCGTCATCTATGAGAAACGACTAAGTTTTCTATCAACCAAAAAGCCTTGAACTATATCCGTCGAGAAAGCCCTCGATCCGGGGACTAGTTGCATGGCACTTCCACTACCCCCAATCCTCGAAGATCCCACTAACTATGACCTTCAATTATCAAAGGATGTACTAATCCGTGATAGACAGGAGCACTCCAAAGAAAAACCTCCTTCTCACCACAACTTACTTGCCCTCGGTGCAAAAGGTGGTTTAGCAACTAAAACGGATTACCATAAGGCAATAAGGAAGAATATAGAGGAGCTAAAAGCCCTCCAACAAGGGCTCATTCTCTAAAGAGGCAACAAACTTGCTAGCCTGGTTAGACACCCACCTCGCCAAAGTAACCACCACCAATGTCACTCGCATGAGGCTCAATCCACCTGCCACATGAGTAGGTTGCTGACAAGGAGCTATTTGACTCATAATTAAAATCGAAGTAGGTACTCACCTAGCCGCACTACTTCTCAACGTTTTTTTAGGAACCTTTCACCTATAGACGGTATCCTCCTCATCATGTGGAGAAGACGGGCGACTCACATAGGGAACGCCAACCTAGGAAACAAAGAGAAAGGCATGGGAGCTCAACTCATCACTCTGCACGAGATGATTAGTATGACGACTATAGAAAAGAGAAGTTAGGCACTCTGAGCCAACTCGTGAAGTAGTCACTCGGCTACAACATAACTTCGCTCAAGACAACCTCATATATTCAATGAAATAGAGGGCAAGGTAGACCCTGCTTAAGATGACCACAACTCCTTATGTTCGGTCCATAAGAGAAGTCGAGCCCCCATGTAAGTTCTCTCCTCTATCCTTTGAGTTGTATGATGGTAAGTTCGATCCCTTACTCCACATAAGGGCCTTTACTAATAAGATGACACTCTGGACGAGCAATGAGGCGTTGAGGTGCAAGATATTCCCCCAAGCTTGGAGAGATCAACTCTTTAGTGGTTTTATGGGATACCCGTGAACTCTGTTTTCTCTTGAGAACAGCTCGTCGGGGAGTTTGTCTCTCAATTCATAACCAATAGTCGAGAGTCAATGATAATTGACACATGTTTAGCATTACGCTAGAAACTGGAAACACTCTATAAGGATACTACGAGGTACTTGAAAACCTATACTGACATAGAAAAGTGCAATGAGAGGACCGTTATTGTAACGCTCCAAAACCCACATTGGACGGCATCACAATCTTGACCCACATGAATACTATTAAAAATATCCTGACCCACGTACAACCCACACAAATCCTCACAAGGATATCCAACCTTTAGAAAGGGCGTATGCCAACACTATGGCAATGACGTATCCAATCTAGGAGTAGTGTACTAACCTTTTTTCTACAATAACCCATGAGTGATAATGGTTTAGTCCTCACAAGGCACTAACTCCACTACGAGTGGTAGAAAAAGTTCAAACCCGCACAGAGTAAGAAGGCGTCTACACACTCTATGATACCCGGTCAATAGTAGCCCATATTTATCCAAAAATCACACAAGAGATACAATAACAACAATTTTCTCAAATAACAGACAATTCCATAAATCCCCAAATTTCACATGTACAATTGAAGAAAATGCAAGAGATCATCCTTAATATCATTTTGATACTCAACAGAAAACACTAAAGTTTTCGAAACTAAATTTAAGTGAATGTAGAGGGAGAAACCCATATTTCTCAAAAACTAGAATTTTAAATCAAGAAAAAGAGATTTCATGGGTATTCAACCCTAACTTTGTTTAAAACATAATAATAATTACAAAAAAATCAAGGAATGATGATTTTATAACATATATATAAGATTGAGTCAAAAAATACATATATACATGCCCTAGTATCAATGAACAAGAATGGAAGAAAACCCCTACCTTGATGTTCTTGAAAATCTAGGATTTTGATCTTCTTAAAGTGAAAATCCCCTTTGATCTTGTATTTTTCTCTTCCTTTCTTACTCTCTAAGGTTTTCTAGGGTTAGGGATGTTGAAATGGGGCTAAAGGGGTTGTCCTTAAGTATTTATAGTGAAAGGAAAGCCGGCTATTCGCGACTTAAAATTTCAGATTTTTTCGAAGACCTTCTGGAAGGTTGTTTATCGACCTTCCAGAAGGTTTGGTTAATCGACAAACCTTTTCATTAACCTTCCGAAAGGTTTTACCTACTGGATAAGTCTTTTACCTTAACCTTCCAGAAGATTTTTCATCGACCTTCCAGAAGATTTTATCTGTTTTATGACAAAAACTCTCTTTTTCATTTCCAATCCATTCCACAACCATCCAATTCCAACCCAAGCTTATTCAACATGCTTTTGTACATCAAACCTAGTTGGTACAAGTTCTATTACAATGAATTCATATATTCGCAAGCTAAACTAACTTTTAACTACTATTTCCTCAAATTTTTCTATATTAACATTTCAAAAGAAATAATAACTTGCTATATAAACCTATATACATGTATAAAGATAAAAGTGTGGGGTTTACAGCTATTGTCTCTTTTTGTTTGGGCCTCCGCTATTGTCTCTTTTTGTTTTCACCAAGCTCTTTGAAAAAGGGCCAAAACAAGGGCCGCAACTTCAAAGGTTATCCATACTCTTCTAAATTAGGAAGTCAAACAAAACAGCTTAGACTTCCAAAAAAAAAACACATTTTCCAATAAACAAAAAGGCCAAAAAAGCGTTTTGCATTCATACTTCAAAAATTTTTACAAGATCATGATCATTGAATGTTTACATCAGAAGTCACAAAAAGACAAATTTCTTGAATGTTTCAGGAGGCCAGAGGTTAAGAAGAACTGGGAAGAGAATGCCTTGAAAAGAGCTCTGATGAAGTTGGAACCCTTGCAGCAGTTAAAGCAGCATGCCAGCCTTGACTAAAGCATGCATCTCAGATTTGGGGGAATTGCAGGGCAAGGTCATTTTCTGTCTTTTCAACTCCCTCATCATATGAAGCGTCCTCCCTCTCCTTTGCCTCTGCTTTGAATTTGTCAAATTCCTCCAATAGACTGGTATAATCAAGTTGAAACTGGGAAAGTTCAACATTTGCTTCATGTTCAGAGTCTTTGAGTTGTTCAATCTCAGTCTGAAGCTTCAGGTTCTCCTCGGTCAGGCTTTGGTTTTGAGCCTGTAAAACCTTCACCTCTTCGCAGAGTTTGACATACTCTTTATCCACACTCTCTTTTTTGGCTAGGGCTGATGATCGGGCATGGATAGCATCCCTCATAGCCTTATCTTTCCTTGCTATTCGAGCTCCGACTTCATGAACTTTTTGCAGACCCTTAAAGTAAAAAGGCAGAAGACTTAGAAAAAAACTTGTTAAAAGGAAAGAAGCCCAAAGGAAAGGGAGCAAGTCTTACCAAGACCATATGTTGAATTGCTTGACGAGACACTTCATCGTCAATAAGAGCCTCATTCATTGTCAGATCCCGAGGCAAAATCACTCATTGGGCAATCCCATTGCAATATTAAAATCTTCTATTGCAGAGTCTTTGGCAGTAATTTCCCTCTTTTTGGCCCTAAGGATTGGTCGGAAGGAAGGATTGGAAGACTCAGGTGGAAGGTTCGCTTCGGACTTGGCTGCCCTCCGCCTTTTCTGGGTAGGGTCCTGAGCAAGTTCAAAAATTGAGTCGTCTTCGAGTATGGGAGAAAGGACAGAATCTGGAGGATCAAGCTCAACTGGAATTGAAGTTTCAATTGGCCAAGCCATATCTACTT